GGAAACCCAAGGAGGGGTCGCTATGGGTCGGGTCCGACTCAACAGCACATAACAACAACAAGAACAACAATTTATGGCATAAATAGACTGTCAAGCATAACCCAAAATGCACAAACCAAAAAATAAAATAAAATAAAATAAAACTCACTGCTGTCGAGTCAGATCCAACTCGAAGCGATCCCTCCTTGGGTTTCTGAGGCGGTATCACTACGGAAGTAGATTGCCCAACTTTCCTTCTGAGGAATGGCTGGTGGGTTTGAACTGCCAGGCTTCTGGTTAGCAGTTAAATGCCTTAGGCACTACGCCACTAGAGCTCCTAAATGCACAAACAGCAGAAAATAAACTAGGTAAATGGGACCTTCTAAAAATTAAATTTTATGTGTTTCCAAAGACTTCTCCAAAAGAGTAAAAAGATAACCTACAGATTGGAAATAAATATTTGACAATGACATATCTGACAAGGGACTTATCTCTGAAATTTATAGAAAACTCCAACGTCAACAACAAAAAGACAAGCCAATTAAAAAATGGGCAGAAGACATTAATAGACACATCACCAAAGAGGATATACAGGCAGCCAACAAACACATGAAGAAATGTTCATGATCATTAGCATTACAAAACAAAACAAAACAAAAAACTTACTGCCGTTGAGATGGATCTAACTCATAGTGACCCCCTCCCCTTGGGCTTCCAAGGTGGTATCACTATGAGAGTAGATTGCCCAGTCTTCCTTCTGAGGAGTGGCTGGTGGTTTGAACCTCCAGCTTCTGGTTAGCAGTCAAATGCATTAGGCACTATGCCACCAGAGTTCCTCATTAGCCATTAGAAAGATGCAAATAAAAGTAACAATGCAATACCATCTGGCTCCACCACTAAGAGCAAAGTTCAACAAAACAGAAAATAAAAAATACTGGTGGGGATGTGGAGAGATTGGGACTCATACACTGCTGGTGGGACTGTAAAATGATGCAACCACTGTGGAAAGCAGTATGGTGATTCCTTAAAAAGTTGGAATTAGAATTACCATTTGATCCAGCAATCTCATTACTAGGTATATATCCTAAAGAAGTGAGAGCCAGGACAAGAACAGACATATGCACACCCATGTTCATCACAGCACTATTTACAACAGCAAAAAGATGGAAACAATCTATGTACCCATCAACAGAAGAATGGATAACCAAACTAGGGTAAGTACACACAATGGAATACTATGCAACACTAAAGAATAATGTAGAATCTGCAAAACACTGCACAACATGGATGAACTTGGAGGACATTATAATGAGTGAAATAAGTCAATCACAGAAGGACAAATATTGTATTGTTCATTATCGTAAAAAGTCAAAGAAGGTTTATATATGGAAGGAAACTTTCTTTGTTGGTTACCGGGGTGGAAGCAGAGGGGAGGGGATAGAACATTGCAAAAATAAAAAGAAAATAACAATAAAAAAATAAAATGATACAGCCACTCAAGAAAACAGTTTAGCAGCTTCTGATGATGATAATAATAATAATGATAATAAATGCCACTGCACACCTAATTTGATGCCTAAAATTTAACAGACCAATATCACCAAATGTTAGCATACATATACAACAACTGGAACTCTCATATATTGCTGGAGGAAATGTAAAAGGATAAAATAACTTTGGAAAATAGGCTGTTTCTAAGAAAGTCCAACATACACCTACCATATAACCCTAATTTTTTTCCTGAGTATTTATCCAAGAGAAAGGAAAAATATGTCCACACAGTGTACATGTATGTTCAAAGAAGATTTATTCAAAATATTCCCAAATTAGAAACAAGCCTAACATCCATCAGTGAATAAATGAGTAAACAAATTGTGGTATATTCACATGATTGAATACTACTTAGCAATAAAATGAATGAACTACTGACACATGAAACAACATGGAAGAATGCCAGAAACGTTATAGTAAGCTAATGAAGTCTGCCTCAAAGGGTACAAACATACTATACGATCACATTTGTATAAAATACAGGAAGGACAAACATAATCTACCATAATAGCAAGTGGATCAGTGGTTTCCCAGGGTCAGGGGTGGGATTTACCGGGAAGAGGCACAAGGCACTTTTTGAAGTGATGGAAATGTTCTATATCTTGATTATGATGATGGTTTCATTCAAAATTGCATTGAAATTGTGGTGCTGGTGAAAATACTGAATATATCTTGGATTGCCAGAAGAACAAATCACTTAGAAGAAATACAACCAAAATATTCCTTAGAAGTGATAATGGCAAGACTTTGGCTTGCTCAATTTGGATCCATCATCAAGAAAGACCAATTGCTTGAAAACTATATCATGTTGGGTAAAATAAAGGGTCAGTGAAAACAAAAGAAACCCTCAGTGAGATAGAGTCAACCAACAACAAGTGATCATGGAGATGGTGCAGGACCGGGCAATGTCTGGTTCCGTTATACATAAACATGTGCTTCCGTTATACATAAACGTGTGCTTCCGTTATACATAAACGTGTGCTTCCATTATACATAAACATGTGGTTCCATTATACATAAACGTGTGCTTCCGTTATACATAAACATGTGCTTCAGTTATACATAAACGTGTGTTTCAGTTATACATCAACGTGTGTTTCCTTATACATAAACGTGTGGTTCTGTTATACATAAACGTGTGGTTCCATTATACATAAAGCTGCCATACATCAGAATCAGCTCAATGGTAACTAACAACAATAAATGAAAAAATTATTTTGCGTGTCTGCACCACAATCCTCTCTTGGAATAGGAAATAAAGTATTCATATATTAAATAAGTTGCTTTAACTACAGTTTACCTAATAGGCAAATACTTATTTCTCTAAATATCCTATGAGATTGAAAACAAAATGATAATTCCTGAGAATAAGAAATTATACCAACAAAGTTTTTGAATAAAAGAAAACCTAACATGAAATAGTTTTTGATTAATTTAACAAAAGAATAGCTTTCATTTTAATTATAAACTCTTTATTATTTGGCATTTATACAAATAAAGTATATATTTACATGAATTTGTATATAAACCTTTTGCAAATACTCCAAATACAAAATTATGACTCTAAAGTAAAAGAATCAAGATATATCATGGACACAGGTAATTCAGTGTCAAATTGACAGTCACATATCCAATATGTCACAATCCTTTTATTCCAAAAAAATGCTCTCATGAGAAAGTAAAGTGGGCAATTAAATGCTAAAAGAATAAATTATTTTCATTATGCAGAACATGGAGGAAATGGACACAATGCAAAATAAAGTTACTGAAGTCTTCAGAAGTTCTTTATGTAGTTGCTAGTAAGATGACAGAACCTAAGGCTATAAAGACCTGTCCAAGTAGAATATTTATATTAGAGATGCTTTTAGCACTTCTCTGGGAGAGGTGTTCTGTCAGCCACTTTTGGTGGAAGGATGGTCCACTATAGACACCAGGAAAACCTCTTCGACCACAGCCATGTCCATAACTGGTAATTCCCATTACAAAAAATCTTTTATGTTCTTGTAAGTAGCACATTAACGGTCCACCACTATCACCCTATCAAAAAATTCCCAAAATAGTGTTAGTTACTTCTAGTATTCTTTAAGCAACAGTAAAGCTGGAATAAATTAATTACATTAAACATACATTCATAGAAATATAATTTACCATATACCTCCAGGTTATAAAGATCCATAGACTTTGTATTAAATTTTTCAACTCAAACAGGAGGTATTCAATCTGGCCTGGTACATGCAGGAATCATGTAGCTGGTGCATAAACTTCCCAGTTGCATACTTTTGCACCGGAATATCATCAATCAAGTTGTTTGGATTTTAAAATACAAACATTTAGGAGAAATACAATTTAGGAAGTGCAGAAAATATTATAAAATACAATACTGCCTATTACAATATGTGTATTGCTTAATATTGTGTGAAAGGCATAACTTTTTTAAGATGTATGAAGGATTCTTTCAAGAATGAATGTGTGGTTTGCTAGTTAGAGGAGACGAATAAGCTGCATCTTGCAAGAAATGACACTTTTCTAACTGTTAACATGGGCTAGATGCAGGATAACAGGAATAAATGAGCCAAGCCTCTTATTACTATAATAAAGAAGTGTCTGTCATAGTTTATATGAGACTGTTCATACACCCAAACGCTGTTATTAAGGACTGTTAATACACTCAAACCAACAAGGATACTCAGGTAACAGTTTTTGTTTTCTTTATATTGAGACGTAATCCATACTGCAGACTGTATTCTTCAACCTTCCTCAGTAGGTGCCTTAAGTCATCCTCACTTTCAGCAAGCAAAGTTGTATCGTCTGCATATCTCAGGTTGCTAATGATTCTTCCTCCAATCCTGGATACCACGTTTTTCTTCATATAGTCCAGCTTCTCGGATTATTTGCTCAGCATATAGATTGAGTAAGTGTGGAGAAAGGATACAACCCTGACATACTCCCTTCTTGATTTTAAACCATGTAGTTTCCCTTTGTTCTGTTCGAACGACAGCCTCCTGGTCAAGGTACAGATTCCTCATGAGTACAATCAAGTGCTTGGGAATTCCCATTCTTCTCAATGTTATCCATAATTTGTCATGATCCACACAATCAAATGCCTTTGCATGGTCAATAAAACACAAGTAAACATCT